TCTCTCTCTCTCTCTCTCTCTCTCTCTCTCCTGGTACCAGGGATTGAACTCAGGACCCTGTGCTTGCCAGGCAGGCACTTACTCTACTGAACTATCTCTCTGGCCTCAATGTAAATTCTCTATTGACATCACATGCTGTCCCCTGTTTTATCAGATAGTTCTTTTTCTTTGCTAAATGTTTGTTGAATTATAGGTATGTATAAACAGTTTTCCTGTAAGGAATATTTGAAGAATTTTTACTAATAATATTATTTCTCTCTTGAATTTATATATTTTCCATACATATGATTTGGATACAGTTACATTTGCTTTAATAGCATTTGGATTTTCAAGATTTTATTTTATTTTTATTAAAATCAATGTCTTTATTAGCAAAGGCCATTTTAATTCTTTTAAGTTTGTCTTAGCATTAAGTAGGATAATATGCTTCATAACTGTAAATTTAACACTTTATTCCAGTTTAGTTCTTGTCAATGAACTTGCTGTGAACTTATTTATATTTTAATAGGAGCTATGAATCTTCAGGTATTTAAATAGATGTAGCTAGCTACACTGGAAATTGAAAATTTATCGATGTTTTATCATTAGGTCAGAATAAAAAAAGTCAAACAGGATATGATAAAGGTTGTTTTAAAAATAATTTATCATTGGGCATTATATCTTTTTAGAACAAGTATAATTTGCAGAAATTATATGTCACTTTTTGTCAAATATTACTACACATTTAACAATTTTTTTTAGCTGAAATAGTATTTCAATTGTAAAACCCATCTCTAGTTACAAAAAAAAAAAAAAAATCAGAAACCTCAAGGGAATTTAGCATAATTTAGAAATGGCTTAAGAATTCTTAAACCATACAATGTTTTAAGTAGAAAAACACTAATTTAAAAAGTTTGGTAACTGTTTCTGTAGTTTATGAGAATGTATTAATTGGTCTCTTTAAAGGAAAACCAACTAAGAGTTGATCATATTAAGCACTGTAAGGTAAAGGGAAAAGCTAATCACCCTAAAAAATATGCATACAACACTTCCAAGCAGCAAAGATACTATTCAGTGGTTAAGAGCCTGGTACAAAATACTAAACAAAAGACATTTCCTGGATTGTTTTTCACTTGTAGCCACACTGTTACCCAACGTAAAGACTTCCCATAAATCAAATCTACAGTGCCATTTGCTTACTGTAGACCACTCAACTCCCTCCCCCAAGTACTTCATTTTCTCCCCCAGCATCCCCACACTCCCTCCATGGTACCATATTATTAAAAACATTAAGTACCTGGGATTTATGCTTCACATCAAGACATCATTTGAATAATTTCAAATGACGTACAGCTCATGTAAAAACGATGTTTTGTGGTCACAATTACTTTGAAATAATTATAGTCAAATAACCTGACATAGCATGCCTTAGCAATTACAACACCATGACTGTGATACATGGCAATTTATAAGTTCAGCAAATGTGAAATGCTTCGAGATGTAAACAGCTGCTCTTCTGTTTTAAGTGTTAAGGGTTCTGTCTAAGAGTCCTGCAAAACTAGTTTTATTTTTATTTCATTGTATTTTAGGGAAGGGTCTATAGGGTGTTCA